TCCACGGCGTGGAAATCGTGCAGGCTGACGGCGCGAAATCAAGGATCCTGGCGGACGCCGTCATTCTCACCACTGGCGGATTTTCAAACGACAAGACCTCCGATTCCCTCCTCCGCGAGTTTGCGCCGCATCTGTCTGGCTTCCCCACAACCAACGGAACGTGGGCCACGGGTGACGGTGTCAAGCTGGCACGGCGCCTTGGTGCGACGCTTGTGGACATGGACAAGGTGCAGCTTCACCCGACAGGCCTCATCGACCCGAAGGACCCTGCCAGTGCAACCAAGTACCTCGGCCCGGAGGCGCTGCGCGGGTCGGGCGGTGTGCTGCTAAACAAGAGGGGCGAGCGGTTTGTCAATGAGCTCGATCTCCGCTCCGTGGTCTCCAAGGCGATCATGGATCAGGGTGACGAATATCCGGGCTCCAACGGCAGCACCTTTGCCTTCTGCGTGCTCAACGATGCGGCGGTAAAGCTTTTTGGCGTCAATGCGTTGAACTTCTACGCAAAAACGTTGGGGTTGTTCAAGCGTGTGGAAGATGTGGAAGGGCTGGCGCAGCTCATTGGTTGTGAGCTGTCAACCCTGCGGAGCACGCTGGAGGCATACGAGGAGCTCTCAAAGACCTCTCGCCAATGCCCAAAGACCCGCAAGAGCGTCTACCCGTGCGTGGTGGGCCCGCAGGGACCCTTCTACGTCGCCTTTGTGACGCCGTCGGTTCACTACACGATGGGCGGCTGCCTCATCTCGCCCGCGGCCGAGATTCAGATGGAAGGAAGCGATTCTTCCTTCTTTGGTCACCGTCGCCCCATTCTCGGCCTGTTTGGCGCGGGTGAGGTGACGGGTGGGGTGCACGGCAGGAACCGACTCGGTGGTAACTCGCTGCTGGAATGCGTCGTCTTTGGCCGCATTGCGGGAGATCGCGCGGCGACGATTCTGCAGAAGAAACCATCGCCGTTGTCTTTTACGACATGGGCAAGTGTGATTTTGCGGGAGGTGCGGGAGGGAGGAATGTACGGCACCGGCTCGCGTGTCCTGCGGTTTAACCTCCCCGGCGCCCTGCAGCGGTCGGGGCTGCGCCTCGGCGAGTTCATTGCCATCCGCGGCGAGTGGGACGGGCAGAAGCTGATTGGCTACTACAGCCCCATCACACTGCCCGACGACCTCGGTGTGATTGGTATTCTGGCGCGGAGTGACAAGGGGACGCTGCGGGAGTGGATTTCCGCCCTCCAGCCCGGCGACGCCGTGGAGATGAAGGGCTGCGGCGGGCTGGTGATTGAGCGCCGCTTCAGTGAGCAGCACCTCTACTTTGGTGGTCACCGGCTCAAAAAGCTTTGCCTCATTGCCGGCGGCACTGGGGTGGCTCCCATGCTGCAGATCATTCGCGCCGCGCTCAAGAAGCCGTTCATCGACACCATCGAGAGCGTCCGCCTCATCTACGCTGCAGAGGACGTCTCGGAGCTCACTTACCGCGAATTGCTCGAGAAGCACCAGAAGAGCTCGAATGGCAAGTTCCGCACCACGTTTGTTCTGAATCGACCTCCGCCAATGTGGACTGACGGCGTCGGGTTTGTTGACAAAAGTGTTCTGAGTTCCTACGTGCAGCAGCCGGCCGAAGACCTGCTGGTGGTGATATGCGGCCCGCCGGTGATGCAGCGCATCGTCAAGGGGTGCCTGAAGGGGCTTGGCTACAACATGGCGCTGGTGCGCACCGTGGATGAGGCAGATTCCAAGGCACCGTCAAAGATGTAATACGTGTTTACTGTAATGAGTGTTAGGGTTTTTTGCCGGTTTTTTTTTACTTTTTTTTGTTTGTTTGAATGTTTTGCTTCTGGGGGAGTAGGGAGGGAAATAAGATGCCTCGCGCTGACTCTGGCGGCGTGCGAATTTGGGGAAAAGCGGCAGCGCGGCGGCAGATGCATGAGGAAGGCGGGCGGCTGGGGGCACACAGTGACGATGTTCGTTTGTTTTTTTGTTTTTTGTGTGTTTTTTTTTAATATTCCCCTGCTCCCGCACTTTCGGGTGCAGGCGCAGGCGCTGCCTGCGGATAAAGAAGGCGGCGCGTGTGCCCCAGCGCCTTCCACTGCCCGCCTGCGGCGGATGCCCTCAGAGGGACAGGAAGCGCAACGAAGGATATTGGGAGCCGCCGCCACGCAGCCCCTCCGATGCGCACGCCCTTGTAGTCTTCTATCCCCTTTCCCATGCACACCCACGCACGCCCGCACCCGCGCCTGCTTGCGTGTTTTTTTTCTGTCAAATGGAAGTGGCGTGTGTCGTGGCTGCGCCGCGCGTATGCGTGCACCTATGCGTCTGCATTTGTGCAAGCACGCGGGAACGGTGGGGCCCCGCTTCTGCAAGCGGAAACAAAGGAACAGACAGGAAGGAGGACGCACGCAAACACGGCGGGTTATAAAGAAGCTGGGGGTAGTAGGAAAGTATTGGAGTCGCAGATTCGAACGCGGAGGAAGCGAGAAAACCGCCTTAGAGGAATGAAGTGGCGCTCGTCTGTGCAAGCACGGCCGAGTGCGTCGATTCAGACGCCTTGTGGTTTGAGGGAGGTGCCTAAATGTACAGCTGTCGGCTGGGGAACCAGCGGAGGCGGGGGGAGTTTAGTAACAGGGCGGCTTTTTTCTTGTTGTTGTTTTTTTTTGCTTTTGTCGAGTTTTTTTTTGTTTTGCTCCTGGGCGTGTGTCCGGGTGTGTCTTGTGTTCGCCTGCTTGACTAAAAGCGGCGGGGTGACTGCGGGATGGGGGCGGGGCTCCATCCACGGAGCAAAAACGCACGGGGCCAGCCTGCCAGGGCTTAGGGGAAGAAAACCCCCAGAAAACTGAGTGAGACAAAACGAAAAAAAATAAAAATAAAAAAATTAACCGATTGGAATGAAGTGCACCAACGCAATAAACTCAAACCAAAAAGAAAACTTTTATGTATGAAAGGAATGAGACAAAGCGGGTGCGTGAATGACGATGGTGGTGACTGTGCTGAAGAAAAGGGAAATGGAAAAGAAACATGATTTTTTTTTGTATGTTCGCTTTTTGTGTGTGTGTGTTGTGTTGTTTCAAAAAGGGGTTTTAGAAGTAACTCTGTGAGTGTGTGTGTGTGTGTGTCGCGTGGGAAAATGGAGGGGCAGCACGCACACGCTACGCGCGCGCCGCGGTGTGCGTGTGTGTGAGAGAGAGAGGTAGGTGCATATATATATATATATATGCACACACACGTATATGCGTGTGTATCTGTAG